GTTCCCCGGCAATCCCCAACGGCCCCCCAACAGCCCCCCAACACCTCCCCAACGGCTGCCCAGACCCCCCTGTGGAGTCATCTGCTGCTCTCTTTTTACACCACTAGAAACCTATCAGTCTTCGCTGTTAGGTAAAAAACATTGATTTTACCTAGGTTTTGGAAGGATTTTGGCCTCTTGGGGGGGCCCAAGAGGCGACTCGAGGCACTCTAGAGGGGCAGCGCTAATTGGGGACCCCCCCTTCTTTGATAGATCTCCACCAAGATGGCCCCAAGAGCGCCTCGAAGGCTCCCAAGAGCGCCCCAAGAGCGCCCCAAGAGGGCCCCAAGAGGCCCCAAGAGGCCCCCAAGAGGCCTCCAAGAGGCCCCCAAGAGACCCCCAAGAGGCCACAAGAGGCTCCCCGAGATACGCAAGAGGCCCCCGGGACCGCCAAGACGGCCCAAGAGGCCCCCAAGCTCGCAATTGTCCTCCTCCTCCTCCTCCTCTTTTTCTTCCTCCTCCCTCCTCCCCCTCCCCCTCCTCCTCCTCCTCCTCCTCCTCCTCCTTCTCCTTTTCCTCCTTCTCGTCCTCCTCGTCCTCGCAGTCCTCCATCTCCTCCTCCTTCTCTTCCTCCTCCTCCTCCTCCTGCTCCTCCTCCTGCTCCTCCTCTTCCTCCTCCTACTCCGACGACGACGGCTCCTCCTACATCCTCCCCCTCTTGGGGTATATGGCGGCTCACCCCGCCCTTTGTTCTTCTGCATGCTCCCCCGCTTCCCTCATAACCTCCACTCCCCTGGGACTCATTTCTGGACGGGCTGGTGGGGATACGCGAAGCGTCTAGAATTCGGTGAAGCCCTCTCTGTGGGGCCACGAAGCTTGTGTGCGGTTACACAATGTTGGCTCGAGGACACATGCGAATGCTGTCACAAAAGCCGTCGGTTGAGCTCCCTACGGGGCCACGAAGCGTGCGAAAAGGTGTGCCGACATGGGCTGGGGTAACGCATGCAATCGCTGCCACAAACACATTCGGTGAAACTCCCCCTGGGGCCACGAACCGTGTGAACGGTGCGCCGAAGTTGGCTGAAGTACGCATGCGTATGCTGCCGCATGAACCTCCGGCGGAACCCCCTATGAAACCACGAACCGTGTGAGGGGACTGCCGAAATTTAATGCGGGGACGCACGCGAACGCTGCTGCAAGACGATTTTGGTGGAGGTCCATATGGAGTTGTGAAGCGCGTGAGAGGTGTGCCGAAATGTGTTGCCGGGACGCATGCGAACGCTGCCACAAAAGCGTTCGGTGGATCTCCAAATGGGGCCACGAAGCGTATGAGGGGTGTGCCGAACTGCGCGGCGGGGACCCATGCGAACGCTGCCACAACAACCTTCGGCGAAAATCCCTGTGAGGCCAAGAGGCGTGGGAAAGGTAAGCCTAAATTTGCGGCGCAGACGCATGCGAACGCTGCCGCAAAAACCTTTGGATGAGCTCCCTATTGGGCCACGGAGCGTGTGAGGGGTGTGCCGAAATGTGCGGCGGGGAAGCACGCGAACGCTGCCACAAGAGCCTTCGATGGAACTCCATATGGGGCCCATAAGCGTGTGAGGGGTGTGCCTGAATTCGCGGCGGGGACATACGCGAACGCTGCCACAAGAGACTTGGGCGAAACTCCCTGCGGGGCCCATAAGCGTGGGAAAAGTGTGCCGAAGTACGCGGCTGGGACGCATGTGAACTCCCTATGAGGCAACGGAGCGAGTGAGGGGTGTGTGCCGAAATGTGCGGCGGGGACGCACGCGGCCGCTGCGGCAAAAGCCTTCGGTGGAACCCCCTATGGGGCTACGAACCGATTGAGGGGTGTGCCGAAATGTGCGGCGGGGACGAATGCGAACGCTGCCACAAGAGTCTTCGGCGGAACTCCCGACGGGGTCACGAGACGTGTGAGGGGTGTGTGCGGCGCAGACGCATGTGAACGCTGCCACAAAAGCCTGAGGTGGAGCTCCAGCTGGGGCCACGAAGCGTGTGAGGGGTGTGCCGAACTGTGCGGCGGGGACGCGTGCGAACGCTGCCACAAAAGCCTTCGGTGGAGCTCCCCATGAGGCCACGAACCGTGTGAGGAATTTGCGGCGGTCACGCATGTGAGCGCTGCCACAAGAGCCTTTTGTAGAGCTCAACCCTATGGGTCCACGAAGCCTGTGAGGGGTGGGGTGTGCCGAAAAGTACGGCGGGGAAGCACGTGAACGCTGCCACAAGAGCCTTCGATGGAACTCCATATGGGGCCCATAAGCGTGTGAAGGGTGTGCCGGCGTGTCTTACATGATGAGGGCAAAGGCAGGGATGGGATGAGGGTGGGAGGGGGAGGAAGGAGGAGCCGACAAGATGGTTGGGAACAACTTCTGAGATCCTGTGTGAAAAACAAAACGCGGAGAAGGCGGAACATCTTCCGCACAGAGTCGGGGAACAGAGGGGAGTAGTATGCATAATGGGTATTGTCAAGAGAGCGATCATAGAGAGACAGCAGAGAAGGAAACATTAAAATGCGCCTGACAGATTCACAGGCAAATGGATCATGCATTCTAACCACTTGGTTGGAGTTCGTGAACGGGGACCCCGATCAACCATGGCTCTGGCACTATCGAGACAACTGCAGCCGTGGGTCGAAACTTCACCGATGATTCGTTCTCTCCAGCTGAACTTTTCGAAGTCCTGGCTTGCAGTGTTCGGCGGCGGCGCGCCGCCGGGGGACGTGAGCGGGGGCAGGCCTTCTCAAAGGCGGCGGGGCTACACAACAGAAGCCCTCTGGGCTTCTGAGAGGTCCTCTTGAATCGGGGAGACGCAAGACTCGTGGACGGGGGACTCGGGTTGGCCTGACGGGGCCATCAAGAAAACGACGAGGCCCAATCTGAAACTTGATGCGAGCTTCCGCTGCAAACATCCCACGAACATCGGACCGTCAGAATCCAGGACGCGCTCGTCAAGAAACGTCGGCAAGCCCGAGTTCCTGCTTACTCGCGTTTTGTTTCCCCGATTGAAGCTTCGGGGAAATTTCTCAGAAGCCGCTGCTGCTGCTGCTGCTGCTGCTGCTGCTTCTCCTCCTCCTCCTCCTCCTCCTCCTCCTCCTCCTCCTCCTCCTCCTCCTCCTCCTCCCCTGGGAACCGACGCCACTCGCCGGACCTCTCCGCCTGAGGCCCTCTGAGTCTTCTGAGGAGGCCCGCCCCCTCTCCGCCTGCTCCTCTGGGCGCGCCGCCGACATGCCCTGGCTCCTGAAAGCCCGGAAGACTGACAGCCCAACGGCACCGGGCCAACCATCGGCGGCGCGCCCGGGGGGGAGGTGAGAAGAGCCTGTTGTTTTTAGATTCGGGCAAGTTTACCTGCATGGCGTTTGCCCCCCCCCCCCCCCCCCCCCCCTCGCCCCTCTTTCAACGAACACTGGCGTGCAAACGCCTTTCGACTTGCGTGATCTCCGCAAGTGCACGTCGTTTACGGCTTGCTTCAGGTTCAGCCCGGGTCTTTAAAACAGAAAAACTCGAAGGGGCGGGCCTTCTCAGAAGGCTCGGAATTCCCCCGGCCTTCTGAGGAGTTGTCCGAGCTTTCCCCGAAGACACAGAAGAGTCCCGCTGCCTTCTGAGAAGGCCTTCTCCTTCTCACTTTCCTCCCGTGCGCGTCACCGAATTTGAATTGTGGGCCATGCCTCGGTTTCCCTGCGGCCGTTCGGGACGATCTGGGCACCCCCAGGAACTCTCTCGGCGAGGCGCAGCCGCTGGAGCGTATCCCGAGGGTGGAAGACCGCCGGGAAACTAGGAAAACGCTCGAAAACGTCGAATCTCGCCCGCCGCCGAGACTCCTTCGCATTATCCCCCCCTCGCTCGCCGCCGAAACAATCACTCCCTCTTGCTGCCCCTGCTCCTGTCCCCTCTCCCCGCGAAAGGAGGTTGCCGCTCGGCATCTTATCGTGGCCGAGGAAGGATCCCCAGCGGGGGATCCCAGGTCAGGCGTTTGCTTCGGGTCTCGTCTTCGGGCGGGGGCCCACGACACCGTCGGACCTAGGACAGAAGATCAGCCTTCAGGAAACATGAGACCCTCCGCTGGCCAAACTGAGTAACATTCGAGGGTACCCTCCCACAGGATGCACAGGAACATCCAACAAGACACGAAGAACACCAAGGCACCCTCCCCGAGCCGACCTCGATCTTATACATCGGTCCAACCGTAGGGGAAGACTGGCTCGGGCTCTTGAATCGGACTCTCGCTCTTGCCCACCTCCTCCTGCCCCTCCTCCCTCAACAGGCAGGTCTGCGCTGGATCGGATCGCGAAATCGGATCGGCTCGTGAGCGGATCGAATCGCCAGCGAATCGTCCCGAATCGGATCGGTATCGAATCCCCGCGCCCCGCTTCCGGCTGGCCCTGGCTGAGGCCGGTGAATATAGCCGGATCGCATCGAATTGGAATCGCGGCCCCAGCCGGCGAATCGATTCGCATCGCATTGGATCGTAGGCGGCAATGACAGGTCCCTCAGAATCCCGCTGCCTTCCAAGAAACACCCCGCCTTCTCAGAAAGCCGCTGCCCAGGCTGCATCATGAGGGGGAATGGCAGGGGGGGACGACTGGCTCAGGGGAGGAAGCACCGAGCTGTGATCGGCGAGATATCGCCCATAGATCGGCGGCCCCCGATGACGATCCCGCACGCTCCTGGGCGGGGTGGGCTATCGGGCCCGTATCGTTGATGAATGGGCGACTCAGGGTCGATGCATCATCCCCTTAGCCTATCCCCCCACTAGCGTTGCCCCTGAATCTTGTCTTGGGGCAGGAGCATCAATTGTGGCGCGTGTGAAATTCATTCTAAACCAGGAAACTTGCATGAACAAAAACTCTTGGAGGTCCGCAAGGACATCTTGACTCTGCGCTGGACCCCCTGGCGAATGATGTCGGGCAACACTTGCGGGCTCGACTCTTCAAGCCGAACCCGGTTTCCGTTACTTATCCTCTGATTGTCCTACACCTTTCGATGCAAGCGCGGGCAGAATACTCCATGACGAAGAACATATGTCTTCCCTGGTCGTAGGTCTCCAGAAGCTTGCAAATGTGTGGATGGTCCAACGTCTGGCATGGGGATGCAGACCAACGAAAGACATGACAAATTCGTGCATTCAGCAAGTGCCGTCCTTGCTGCTATCAGACGGAAACATTGCGCGTATGTTCGTCGTCTGTTGGATTTGCGAGATCGCTCTGAATCCAAGCGTGCATGAATTAACCTCCAAAGCGAAGCAACACATTACCCATCACGACATGAGTTCCCATATGCGCCGAAAGCAGATGCGAACGTACGCTGCTATATCAGTACAGCATCAAACTTTGATCGTGGAGCGAAACGTTGCAAAGAAGACCTTCATGATGCTGGACTCCTTCTTAAATGCTATTCGCTTCTCTTCGTCGAACACGAGGACCTACGGGCAAACTTCATGAGTAATTCAGGGTACAGTTCGACGGCAAGCGCTACTACCAAACAAAAATCTCTTGCGCACGGGACAACACATGGAGACACACTAAAACTATCACCGAGATGAGATCGGCGTCAACGACTCTCTGAATATTATGTCAGCGCCAAAAAAGATCTGGCTCGAACGACGACATTATCAACGCGTGTTGCGAAGAAGTACGTGATGCAAGTGTGCACAACATATGCATGGCACTACTGCTCACCCGAAGCGCTTGCGCTAGACACTTTCGGCGTCCGAGGCTGTTCAGGAAGACAACTTCGATGCGAACCAGCGCAAGTCAGCGCAAATGATCGGATCGAATGCTGGTCGAGTCGAAATGTTGATCGACCGAGCGACCCTCAGCGCTATTCAATCGCGGATGCTGGCTCAACGTTTGATCACCAGGTGCTCAATCTGGAAAGAAGAGGAATGGGCGGAACTGTACGCGCGGCAATGGGATCGAACTCTGGCCCCCCGACTCACCACTAGAAGCTTGTCGCCGGGCGACACTCTGGGGATCCCTTGCAGGCAAGCGCTGCGGCCGCGCGAGGTGACCAATTTCCCCCTCCCTCTCGCTATCCTCCTTCTGCTCTCTCTTCTTATCCGCCTCCTGCTCTCTGACACCCTGGGTCACCAAGGCGATGAGCACACACATTGACCGCTCCTGCCCGTCATCCCTCAACGGCTCTTCCCTCCTGCTCCTCCCTCCCAGCTGCACGTTGACGGCTCCTACACAGTGACGGCCCCTCCTCCCTCAGCGGGTCTTTTATAAGACTCCTGGCCCATACAAGAAGCCCACGTGAGGGGCAACGATAAGGAGGGATAGACATAAGGGGGGGGGACATCGGAATGGAATCGGCCATACATCCCTGAGAGATCGGCGATAGGCCCCCGACAATGGATCCGCACGTTCCTGGGCAGCTTGGGGCCTTCGGGCGATTGGGGCTCGATGCGTCCCCCCCTATGCCTAACCTCTCCTATCGTGGCCCCCGATCGCTGCCTTTTGAGAAACACCCCGCCTTCTCAGAAGACCGCACCCCTCGCACCGTCCCGAGGAATAACGACATGTGCGGGACCAGCACGGGGGGGGAAACGTAGATCTCGATCGGCGATAGGCCCCCGCCCCGACAGCGACCGCATGTGTCTAGGCGGGGTGGGCCATCGGGCCCCTCTTGGCGAGGAATGGGCGATTGGGGGCCGATGCCTCCTCCCCGCCCCGCGAGTCTACGCACCTCCCGTGGACGTTGCCCCTGACACCCCCGTGTGCGGACCGCCAACGGTAGAACGTTCAAAGCACTAACACAATGAGCTCAGAGCATGAAGCCGACGTCGTCAAGCAAGACCGTCTCAACCAAATATGTCCTAAGGACATTCTAACACAACCCGCGAAAATATTAGTATAACATGTTCTGGCGGGCTTAGAGGCAGACCAGGACGCGTCGTCACCGCTTGATCGCCACTCCCAGCTCGCCGCGCTCCTGCGCCCAGGCGCCACCGTGCGCCGTGCCCGTCGCCATGCACCCTCCGCGCTGCCCGGCGCCCCCTGCACACCAGGAGCCGCGCCCACTTGGACGCCCGACGCGGGTAGGGGGAACATGGGGGCGGTACCAGCTGCGAAATGTTCTCCCATACCGGCAGCGGCCGCTCTTGGGCAGGCAACGGGTGTTGCTAGAAGTGTCCCTGGCCCAACGTGCCCCCAGGATTTCCAAGGAGGCCCCCACGGCCTCCAGAGCACCCCTCATGAAGCTCAGCCCCAGGGGTTCCCAAAGCTGATCGAAAAGCTGGGGGTACCTCGGGCCAGACGCACCTCCAGCAACCGCCGAACCCTCTGTCTCAGATGGACAGCGCCCGCGGCGACGCCGACAGCGAACCCTGCTCAAAATGGGCAGGAACTGCTGTCGGCCTTCGTTCCCATGCTTTCTGTACCCCATGTTGAACGTACCCAGCCCAGGCCCGCCCGCCTTTTTGATCGCCACCTTCCTCGCCGGCGTGAACCTGTCCGACGCGACGTACACCTGCGGGTGTGGGCGGCGATGGTCCCCATAGCGCGTGTTAGCGACAACGTGTGCTTCTTCACCGAATCAATTTGCCGATGTGTGATGACGACCAAAAAATGCCAGGGATGGTCCTGTCACGCAGCATCGCCCTGGGCGATGATGGATACATTGGCGTCCAGGCCTCCTCGTGGGCGTTGTCGGCGCCAATGAAACTAGTTGGTCGTTATCCCCAAACGCTTCCCCGGCGGCACAAACCTATTTCAATCGTCTCCGCCGCGTTTCTTCTCTCATTCGTCATCCCACGTGACAACCATAGGAAGGCGTTGGAAATAGACTGGTTTCCGCCCACCCCCCAAGGACGAGGGAAGACGGAAAACCACCCGACTCGGAGTAGGAAGACACCTCCATTATATTGGGGTTTGGGAATCCAGCGATTCCTAGTTTCAACGACTGGCGTGTAATCAAGACCGATAGATGGAGCGTGCTGATTATCGGTGGGGCGATACAAAATATACACAACGGTTGAATACACGTCCTGAGGCTCGCCGATGGGAGGTCGCGGGGTCCCCACTGACTCCTAGACGCCTGACCAGGAGTCCTCAGACGTTCAAGCATCTCGATCCTCGAGCCCTGATGCTCGAGGAGGACGAGGAGGACGAAGAGGACGAGGAGGAGGAGGGGGAGGAGGAGGAGGAGGAGGAGGAGGAGGAGGGGAAACCTCATCCCTCCCTCCTGGTCATCCCTCTTTCTCCTGCTCCTCCGCCCCCGGCCCTCTGCACTCTCGGCGAACGCACGCGAACGCACGCGGGCAGACGCACGCGCAGGCACAGGCACAAACGCACACACGAACGCAGACACGCACAGACGCAGACAGACAGACGCACACATACACTCTTTTTTTTGCAATCGCAAGAGGTGCCACGTAGCAAGCGCCAGGAAACGACGCGACGCGACGGCTGGGACGAGAGACGACACGACAACGACACAGGCGCGGGGGGGGGAGGAGAGAGGGGGGGGGGCAAGGGAGGCGCGCCGGCCCGCGCGGCCAGTTGGCCTCAGCCCGCGCCAGCCGCGGCTACGCGCAGCCGGCTATAGCCTGCGGCGCCTAGCACCCCGGCGATGCCGAAGAACTCTGGCGCCGCCTGGCGCCCTGGCGCGACGCCTGCCGGCCCACCCGGCCGCGGGCCGGCGGGCAAGCGCCGGCTCTCGGCCACGCCGAGGTGTCGCGCGGCGATCCGGACCTGGGTCCAGCCGCGCTGGAGGACGGTGTGGAGCTCCGCGCGCGCCGCCTCGGTCGCCTCCTCGGCCGCTGCGTCTGCGGCCGCGGCCAGGGCCGCCGCCTGCGCAGCCTCCGCGGCGCGGGCCTCCGCGGCCGCGCGGGCTGCCGCCACGTCTGCCAGGGCCGCCGCCTGAGCGACCTCCGCGGCCGCGCGCGCCGCCTCCGCGCCGCCAATGGTGGCCCCTGCGCCGGCCCGCGGGCTGGCAGCGTCGCCGCCTGCGGGCCGCTGAGCCAAGCAGCCTGATCAACCGTCAGCAGCTCAGCGCGCCCCTCCGCCAGCTCCTGGCCCCCCAGCCCCGCAGGCTCTACCCGCGGAGAGGCCGGAGCAGGGGTGCCCGGAGCGCCGGCCGAGTCCGGCTCGCCTACGAGCACTGCAGTCGAGCCCGCCGTACTCGCGCTCGATGGGGTGCTCGCCAACGTCTAGCGGGAGCGCCGGCGGTTCTCCCGCCGGAGAAGGCCAGCGGCCACCGCCTGGGCAAGGACCCCCGCCGCGACCCCCTCGGCCCCGAAATTCCAGCCGCTCGCCTGGGGCGCCGCCGTCACCGCCTCGGCGGCCGCGGCGAACTGCCAGCGCCGCCGCCCGCCGCGGCGGCCGCGCCGCCGCCAGGCCCGGCTATCGGCGCTTCCGCTCCCAGCGGTGCTGCCGACGGATCTGCCCCCCGCGCTGCCGCCCCTGGCAGTGCTGCCGTCGCGGCCCCCTTCCTCGGCGCCGCCGCCGCAGGCGGGCCGGGGCCGCCGTCGGAGCCCCGGCTTCCAGCGCTGCCGCCGCGGGCGGAGTTGCTGTCGGAGCCCTCGTTGCTCCTGGCGCCGCCGCCTCGAACGGAGCCGCTCTTGGAGTCCGCGTCGCCGCCGCCGGGGAGCTGCCTGAACTGCTCTTGGAGCCGCTGCTGCCGCTGCTGTGCGGGGCGGCCGCCGCCGCCGCCGCCACCGCCTCCTCCGCGGCTGGCCCTGCGAGCAGCGCCCATCCCGCGGGGAGCTGCATGCTCCTCCTGCGCGCGGCGCCGCCCAGGCGCCCGTGCTGCTGCCGCTGCGGGGGAAGCGCTGGGGGCGCGCTCGCGGCGCGTCGTCGGCGCCGCCTGGGCTGCGCGCTCCCGGGTTGCGCGTGGCCGCCAGGGCCGGGCTGCGCGCGGCCGCCGGGGTCGGGGCCGCAGGCCTCGGCGGGCTCCGGGCGCTCGCCACGCGGGGGGCCGGGGAGCGGCCGCGCGTGCGGCCGCTCCGGCGGGCGCAGTGGCGGCGGGCTGGCCGCTCGCTCGGGCTGCTCCGGCGGGGGCGGAGGCTGCGGGCTGGACGCGCGTTCGGGCTGCGTTCCCGCTGTCGGCGGCGGCGGCGGCGGCGCCAGCTCGGCGCCCGGGCGCTGGGGCTGCTGCTGGGGCGCGCCCTGCGCCGGCGCGCGCGGCGCTCAGCGGCCTGCGCCGCTGGCCTCTTGCCAGCCGGCGGGCTGCGGGCGCGCTCGGGCTCCCCGTCCGCGCAAGAGCGTTTTCCCTCGCCTGGGGGGGGGCCTCCTGGGCCGGCCGCAGCGTCGCCGTCGTCGGCGCTCCCTCCGCGGGAGCCAGCCTCAAGACTCAAGCCCGGCCGGGCCTTCGCCCGCGGTGGGTCCTCCCTGGCCCTCTGAGGGGTCGCCGGGGCCGGCGCCCGAACCCACGGGATCCGCATCGGCGCTTCCGGAGGGCTCCGCGCCACCCCGGGTGCAGCCGCCTGCGTCCGCATCGGCGCATCCGGGGGGGTCCGCGCCCGCCCCGGTGCTGCCGCCCGCGGCGTCGCCGGCAAGCCCCTCCCCTGCCGGCGCTGCCCAGCAGCCGGGTGCCCAGGGCACACCCCCAATGCCAGCCCGCTCGCGGCGCGACTGGGGCAGCGCAGAGGCTCCACCCCCAGCCTGCGGGAAGGCAGGGCAGAGCGAAGCACAGCCACGCCTGCCCGCCCGGTTGGCCCGCGACGGCATGGCCGCCTAGCAGCATGCACCGAACCGCTCAGCGACGCATCATCGCGCGCGCAACAAACCGCTCGTGCCAGCCGACGGACCCGACACTCGAGCCCACGGCTATCTCAAGCTCCACCTTCCAGTTGGAACTTGAGCCAAATTGGCTACGGAGACACACATACACATACACACACACACCAAACACACACACACACACACACACACGCAACGTGTACAGTCGAAGCGGATCGGGAGGATGCGCCGTAAGGACGCAAAGAGCCTCGGACGCCCAAGCTGATCTTCTGAGCGGCGCACGGCAACGGTCCCGAGGACGCAAGGATACCCTGACCGATCCCCGTCCTGAGGACGGGCCGATGATGCAAGGACGATGGCACCATTAGCGAGCTCTTGTCCTTCGTAACCGCAAACACGCACGAGCCTCGGACATCCTGGGGACACCCGGGTCCAAGGACCCATGCGGCAACACCCGTATCCCGCCAGCCAGCTGCCCGCCCCCCCCTTCTCTCCCGCTCTCCTCCTCTGAGGATGGCGGATGCGTACGGGGGGGCAGCTCATGGGGGAAAGATCGTTGATACATCGCCGATGCAACAACGTAAGGCCCCTGGTGGCGAAACCGCACCTTCCTGAGCGGGGTGGGCTATCGGGTTCCTTTCGGCGATCAATGGGCGCTTAGAGGTCGATGCATCCCCCGTGATCCTATCCCCCCCTAGCGTTGCCGCTGACGTTCTTACCTCCTCCTCTCTGCCTCGAGATTCGAGGCTCGAGCATTTCACCAGGTCGACGAACTTCGCGCACCGAGGAACGGGCGATGAACGGGCGAGGGGGGGTCCATGCATCCCCCCCTCAGCCTGTCCTTAGGTCGGACATGTACTTCTACAGGCGGATTTTGGACGAAGGATGAAACAGATCCAACAAAAAGCATACACAATCAAACAAATCGTCCCCATGACTATTTGTTGACGACTTTTGGACTGTTCCTCCTGTAGAGGTACATGCCCGACGTCAGCCGATCCACCCCTCACATACACCGATCCTGGCCAGGCCCAGGGTGGGGCCTGGCCAGGGCCGGCGCAGGGTGCACCCTGGGCGTCCTCCGGTCCGAGGAGCCTCGGGCGCGTTCGGACCAGAGCGGCCAGCATCGACGCGCCAGGATGCCAGCAGCACCGTGCAGAGACCGGGCCGGACCGCACGGACGAGGTGGGCACGGAAGCGGATCGGCGGGATCGGAAGGGGCCCCGAGCAGGGCACCAGCGGGGCATCGGCAGGAGACGCCCGAGGGCCCTGCCTCAGCAGTGCGCGCCTCCCCGCCTCTCTCCCTCTCTCTCTTTCTCTCTCTCTCTCTCTCTCACTATCTTTCTCTCACTCTGTGCTGTCTTTAAGTCGGGCATGTCCTCCTGCAGGCAGATTTTGACGGAAACATGAAAAACAGTTAGAAAGTATTCAAATATAGTCAAAAATAATAGAGAAATCGTCCCCAGACTATTCTCTACTATTATTGAATATTACCCCTGTAGAGGGACATGCCCGACATAATGCTTTTTCCTGCGCCGTCGGCAGCTGCGCTCGCTGGAGGCTTCCCACGGGAGGTGACTCGCCATCGCTCGGACGTCCACTCCCCGTGCATTTGTCGATGTTCAGTGCGTGTGTTCTTCGATAGATGGTCAGAGATGCTCCTCGATGGCCCTTGCCGAGAAAAAAATCACACGCCCGAGCGATGCTAAGGTGCAGAGACCCGGGCCCCTGGGGAGGAGAAAAGGGCCTGTCGAGGCACCGGCCGTCAGCCGCCTGGACGAGAGGAACTGGAGGGCCGCCGGTGTCCCCAGGCCTCCCCCCGACGCACATGGCCCCTGCGCAGGCACACACGCACAAGCACCGAGGAGTGTATGCAGCAGGAGCTCGACCACAAGGGGCCCTCTACAGGAGACCCAACCCCGAGACCCCAGGACGTCCACTGGTTCTTGGGGTGGGAGCGTCGCGCTCTCCAGGGCAAACCCATCGGAACCCAGGAAACCCAGGGCACCCTGGAGGCGAGCAGGGTGCTTCTTGGCATGGGTCCCCTTTGTAGATGACCCCTGCGCAGGGACGAAATGTACAAATCAAATCGAGAAATGTATGTACTTCTGCGCTGCGACCAGAAGTTCGGCATCTTGTAAGACTGACGCGGGCGGAGGGCGGGATTAGAAGAAGAAAAAACGCCATAAACATAAACTTCTGGCGCTCCGCGCGGAGTTCTTGGACCCGCGCCTGGGCCTCCTCCCTGGCGCGCGGAGCGCGCCCAGGGGCGGCGCCTCCGGCGCCGCCCCTGGGCGAACGCTGGAGTCGTGCGCGCTCCTCTGGGGAGCCCGCTCGTGCCCATGAGGGTATCGACTGGTTGCCATGGCCTCAAAACTGTGATATGTAGGCGGACATCCATTGAGCGCTCCCCGCGGGTGATAACCATCGCTAGTCGTTTGTGCTGTTGTGCTCGTGTTGTCGTGGTTGGTCGCTGCCCGAATCTGGTCCTGACCAGCGTCGGCCTCGCAGCAATGCCCGTCCGAGCTGTGGTGAAATTTCCGGACGTCGTCGTCCCTGCGTTGGGGTTCCCCTCCACGTTGCTGGCACCCTCGTTGCCCTTGCCTACGTACCTGGACCGACCTGCCAGAAGGGCTCCCATGAGGTTTCATAATGTTGGTCTGAGGGCGCCAGCGCGGCGGCGGCGTCAGGATCGCGCCGCCCAATCGGCGACGGCGATCGCCGATTGTGCGCGGGCCAGGGGTGAGGTCCTTGAGTCTCGCTGCAGCGCTGGCAGCGCGGCACGCCCAAAGGCACCAGGGGGAGGCGACGCACCGAGAGGGCCCAAGAGAGCTCCAAGAGGGCCCCAGTGGCTTCCAAAATGGCCCCGAGAGGGCCCCACGATGGCCCCAAGATGCCTCAATAGGGTCCCAGAGCGTGACTGCATGCTGCTACACATCCCTGATCGGGGCAACTCGCCTGGTCTGTTTTTGGATGGTGCGCGACACTCGCGAGGGCCCCAGGGACGCGACGGAAGGCGAAGCCAGCGATTTTTCACTCCGGGAGCCGTTCAAGATGAGGAACGCATTTTTTATTCGCGGCCATAGCGGGCGTTATGGGGGGAGGGGGGAGGGGGCCGGGAGGGGGTATAACGCAGCGCCCCCACCTCAAGACTGTGGTGCTGGACGCACTGCAGCAGTGCCAGGGACGCACAAGAGGGGGGAGCGTTACGTTATGGGGGGGAGGGGGGGGGGGAAGGGTAGGGGCATAACGCGCCTTAGGGCCCAGAGGGTAAAAAACACTCTCGAGCACTCCCCGACTTCCTCATCCGCGTGACACGTCCCGCTCCGCAGATCCGCAGAGGGAAGAGAAGCCGCGCGCCTTGCCGTAGCCTCCGGCTCCAACCTCGTTGGGGTGTATGTCGTATCGCCTCTGGCGGGGGTCGCCACTCTTCGGCATTCAGGACACGGGTAGAGCGCATGTTTTTATTCGCGGCCATAACGGGCGTTCTGGTGGGGGGGGAGGGGGGGGGGAGGGCATAACGTAGCGGCCCCCCCACAAGGCTGCGGTGCCCGACGCACTGCGGCAGTGCCAGGGACGCACAGAGGGGGGGAGCGTTACGCTATGGGGGGGGGGGAGAGTGGGGGGGGGGAAGGCTGGGTAGCATAACGCGCGTCATGACCCAGAAAGCAATTTAAAAAACCACTCCCGTGTTGGAGCAAAGTGGCCCTGGATTCGTTTCGTCGTGCTCGAGGCCCCGAGGCCCTCCACGGGCCAAGATCCCGTCAGAAACGACTCGGGACAACGCAGTGGTCCAGGCGGGACAGCCCCGCAGCGGAGGCCCTGCTTCCCTCGACGCCCCCCCTGCTTGACCGGCGGCACCTCCCCTTGCCACGAGAGACGGTGCCAGTCTCACGGGGGGGGGGCCCTCTGCCTTCCCCGCCTGTCTCGTCTCCTGCCAGACCCGCGGTCGCCTCTCTATGCGTAGGTCGGGCATGTCCTCCTACGGGCGGATTTTGGAAGAACAATAACACATGGTCAAACAAAATCAAAAATAGTCAAGAGAGCACGAAACATCGTTACTAAACTAGTTTGCAACTATTCTTGAATATTCCTAATGTGGAGGGACATGCGCGACTTAACTCTCTAGGCGGCGCGCCCGGGAGGGGCGGGCCTTCTCAGAAGGCTCGGAAGTCCCCTGGCCTTCTGAGAATTATTCCAAGCCTTCCCCGGAGACACAAACAACTTCACAACGGCCAACGGGCTTCTGAGAAGCACCGCCGCATTCCGAGAAGGCCTTCTTGTCAATTCCTCCCTCGCTCGCCGCCGATTCTCGACCTCTTGAACGTTTTCTTTTTCGGCATTTTGACATTGGAAGGAAGGGGGGGAGGGTGGGAGGGTCTGGCTCCAGACCTCTGCTTCATGCGACTGTTTGCAACAGTGCGTCCTATGGGGGATACCCCACCTGCTTGAAACAGGCACCAACAACAGCCAAGATCTACTCCATGCGGGGGGGGGAGGGGGTGCGAGGGCCCGCGCCTATCGGGAAAACAATGAATCAGAAAACGATGTCCCCGCTCTCTGCTCAGCAAAGCTTCCCTGTCGAGGTGACGTTCCACTGACTGACGGAGGTGAAGCATGATGCACAGCATTCGTCGGCTACACACACTGCCAGGCGCCGACGTTTGAGAATATCTTTGACAAACCTCACACGCTGCCAGGCGCCGATGATCGAGGATACCTTCGACAACCCTGGATGGACACATCAGATCGAACAAACATGAACTCGCTCCTGCGCGCCCACATTAACTTGAAGATGGCTCGCCGCACGCTCCGTAGCAAACTCACGCGCCATGGCCACACCTGAATCACTGGTGCGTCCTGGCCCCCATACTGCAGCAAAGCACTCTGGCTCTGGGGAGGCCAACTTTCGCAACCTGTCCATGCCGTTCGGCCGCAATTCGCTGCCGCTGCCCTCCTGATACACATCGTCACTGTCACTAATCAGACCCTGTGTGTTACATCCAGCTCCCTACTACCTTGGGACCAAGTGCTTCTCCACGACGTCGCCGACCCCCGTCCAATGGCGCCGCTTCCGCACGTGGGGCCCCCATCACATATCGAAGTGACCAGCGATGTATTAATGACAGCAGACACTGACGATGAGAAGAACATCCGAACATGCAATGTGGCTAACAGCAAGCTGAATCACAAAGATCGATAACATTAAACTGTGCAGTAGGGGCCCGACCAGAAAAAAACCTTCCAGAAGAAACCCAACCCTGAGACCCCAGGACGTCCATTCATTGTTGGTGTGGGACCGTCACGATTTCCTTGGAAAACAATCGAAACCCAAGAACCGCAGGGCACCCTGGAGGTGTGCAGTGTGTTTCTTGGAATGGGCCTCCACTGTGTTAAAAGATCCGATGGTACGCCGAAGCTGTATCCACCCGCGCATGTTCCGTTTGCACGCCCTTGCGAAGGGGAGGGGGCGCCGCAGAAGCAGCAGCGGGAAGAGGCAGGGCGACGACGGCTCTGCGGGCGGAGAGCAGTCGCAGCTGCGTCGCTTGGAGATCTCCGCGTTCACGCGCTCTGGCATCAACGCCCTCAGGTTCAGGCTTCTGGCGGGGCGGGCCGCTCTGAGCACGGCGAGGCCCGTGGCCTCTGCTCATGCTGATGCTCCTCCCCACGCTCCTCCACGCCGCCCTGGCAGCCGATCCCATTGGCCTTGGCTCAACGCCGCCAGCCTCAGTTCGTTGACTGTGTTCTCGCGCTCACCGCTCACGCTCGCACCGTCAAGTGAGATGGTAACAGTCGAAAGCTTGCCACAAAGAAGCTGGTCTGGGAAACGGATCCCCATTTTCAGTCCCAGCTGCTCAGCTGCGACCAGGATTTGCGAGGACCGCCTCGGGAAAGCACACGCAGGGACCACGATATACGGTGTGATGCGACCACCGTTGCGGACAGCGTCCTGGCCTGGCTCAGACCAGGTGGGTGAGGCCGTGGCCTCGAGAATCTGGCTTGTCTGGATACATCCGACGCGAGGCACGTAAAAGGTTAGGAAGAGGAGGAGGAGGAGAAAAAGGAGGAGGAGGAGGAGGAGGAGGAGGAGGAGGAGGAGGAGGAGGAGGAGGAGGAGGAGGGGGAGGAGGAGGAGGAGGAGGAGGGGGGGGGGAGGAGGAGGGGGAGGGGAGGGGGGAGGAGGGGGGAGAGGGGGAAGAGAGGGGGAGGGGAGGGGAGGAGGAAGAGGAAGAGGAGGAGGAGGAGGAGGAGGAGGAGGAGGAGGAGGAGGAGGAGGAGGAGGAGGAAGAGGAGGAAGCGGAAGAGGAAAAGGAAGTCGTCGGCGCGGGCTGGTCGTGCCGTCTCGAGCTTCTCCAAGCGAGCAAGCCAGCGAGCCCTTCCCGAACCTCGAGTAATCTTAATTCCAAGACTCTGGGTGCACGCGGGGTCGGAAGCGGCCGAGGGATCTGCACTGGGCGAGCCCCGAGAAAATCGCTCAAGAGGGGCGGGCAATGGCAAAGGCATTCAAAAACAAGGAAGGGGCCCAAGGACACGCAAACAAATAGACACAAATCCCAGGATTCCCCATGTTTCCTATATTTTATGAGCCGCCTCCACTTCCGACATTTTCCATATTTCATTGCAATCTGAATCGATCTCTGGACCGCTCCAGAGATCGAAACTTACCAGCTTTTCGAGCCGCGTCCACCCGTGGCGACGATGGGGAAACCTTCCCCCCCCGTTTTGGTTGAAGCAAATGCTGGGCCACCTCAGCCCCCCATCCCGGCTCCAAATGCGGGGCGATAGTCGTATCGTAGCACCTCGTTGCGCAACTTGAGCGGCGCATGCGAACCGATGCGTGATGTCTGCACAGGCGGCGCTGTACACGAGGTCGTGCACCAAAGGTCGGGAGTTCTGGACGACACGGCCTCGGCTGGTTGGCGGAGGGAGGGCGCGGATGCACAGCTAGTGTGAGGGGAAACGATGAAGGGGGGGACGAGGACAAGACGGGGAAACATCGACCTGGAGTATTCGATACATCGCCGATAGATCGGAGATAAGCCCCCGATGGTGAATCCGCACGGTCCTGGGCGGGGTGGGATATCGGGCCCCTACCGGCGATCAGTGGGCGATTGGGGGTCGATGCGTCCCCCCCCTGAGCCTATCTCCCACCAGCGCTGTCCCTGGAGGAGAGGTCACCAGCATGAGAAGGGCCTCCTCTGGAGCAGTCCCGCACCCGACGGGCCGCAAACTCAACCGCTTGCAAACATGCCCAGGGTGCGCGGCTCGAGCTGCACCAGAAGTTGCGAGGCGCGCTCGACCAGGATCCGCGGGGGACTTGGGCATAGAGGAGGAGAAGGAAGAGGATGAGGAAGAGGAAGAGGAGGAGGAGGAGGCGCAGAAGGAGGAGAAGGAGGAATATGATGATGATGAGGAGGAGGAGGAGGAGGAAGCAAAGGAGGAGGAGGAGGAGGAGGAGGAGGAGGAGGAGGATGATGAGGAGGAGGAGGAGGAGGAGGAGGAGGAGGAGAGGAGGCAAGGGAGGGAGCAATGCAAGACGACGGTTCGCAGGAAAGCAACAGCGAGCAACCACAGCAGCGCGGGGACCGCCCCACACAAACACGTGTTTGCTGGCGGGCCTCGGGAACGCCCCGATCCCCAAACCAAATGCTGCAGGCAGGCTGCACAATGCCAAGTGTGCTCAATCAGCATGCGCGGTGTCCTGGATGAAGGGCGGCTGGCGAAGCAACAGAAACACGCGCACACTTTTGGGGCGGTAGCGGCCTCGCGAGCGGCGACGAGGCGGAGTAAGTCAAACCGGCGGAGCGGGCGCGCGCGGCCAGGCCCTCAAGGACGCATCTCTCAGCGCCGCGGCGGCTTGGAAACATCGGTGCAACCACAGCGAGCCCAGCGGCGAAGGATTCAGCACTTGAAGCAAACCAGCCGGCCTCCAAACCTGTAGCACGAGTCTGTGCAGGAATGCCCGTCCGTACGCGGAAGAGCGTGCAAACCAGATGTCGTCTGCAATGGAGCGATCCTGGAGGAGGAGGAGTAGGAGGAGGAGGAGGAGGAGGAGGAGGAGGAGGAGGAGGGGGAGGAGGAGGAGGCAAAGGAGAAGAGGGAGGAAGGAGGGGAGGAGGAGGAGGAGGAGGGAGGAAGGAGGAGGAGAGGAGGAGGAGGCAAAGGAGGAGGAGGAGGAGGAGGAGGCAGGCAAAGTGGAGGAAAAGGAGGAGGAGGAGGAGGAGGAGTAGGAGGGGGAGGAGGGGGAGCGAGGAGGTGAGGAGGAGGGAAGAGGAGGAGGAGGAGGAGGAGGGCACCCGATGGCACGGCGGAGCGAGACGACGCCGGAGGAGGAAAGCAACTTGAGAGGAGTGTGGGGGAGGAGGAGGGTTGAGGAGGCGGAGGAGGAGGTGGAGGAGGAGGAGGAGGGAGAAGGAGGAGGAGGAGGAGGAGGAGGGGGAGAATGGGGAGGGGGAGGACAAGCTAGGTGTGCTCGCGTCATATATGACGTCCTACCCCCATCCCTCCCATCCCTTACCATGGCGTAGAGCTCCTCTCTATTCGCACAGTCGAATGTGGAGCAGGGCAATGATCCCGATAGGGTGCGCAATGCATCGTGAAGCACGGCATAGCAGGGCGTAGAAGAGCATGGCATAGCGTAGTATGTCATAGCATGGCGTGGCGTTGCGCAAAAACATTGCAACTCAAATGATGGCATCGCACAGCGGCACATAACATACGATGACATAACATGACGTTGACATTCAAAGCGTAGCATGGCATAGCATGGCGTGGCACTGCGTAGTCAACCACTGCAGATCCTAACATTGCAGCTGAAAACATGGCATCGCACAGCGAAACACCACATAGCATTGCATTGCATGCCGTGGCATTGCACTGGAAATAATGACGCCATCGATGCAGCGGGAGCACGATTTGCAACGAGCGGAAGCACGGAAATGGGGCCAACGCTGAAGCGGGAGCACGATTCGGAACGAGTGGAAGCACGAAAACGAGGCCAACGCTTCAGCGGGAGCATTTTGGGGAAAAAACAAACGAAAACCCAACTCCTGAGAATCCTGTGCATAAAAAGCACGCGGACGGGGGCCGGACACCTTCCGGACGTCATCAAGAAAGAGATGAGAGCAGCACTCGTATTGTGCAATTGTGGAGAAGGAGGAGGAGGAGGAGGAGGAGGAGGAGGAGGAGGAGGAGGAGGAGG